AATATTCCATTTCTGAGCTTCAATAGTAATGACGAATGAATCTACTGAAAAAATCGATTAACAGTTTTGTAGAGCAGAAAGAGCTCTATCGAATGAATGTTATAACCTCTTGCAAATTGCAAAATGTCGCTGTAAAAAAAAAGAAAATGTCAAAACGCTACGAACTTATTTCCCAACCTAATATTTAAACTTATGAATTTGTAAATGTGTGAATCTGTAAACGTGTGATCTTGTAAATACGTAAACGGGTTAAAAGTGTGGGCAAGAGGAGGGGGTCAATGAAATTCAACCTAGTTATCTTTACATTTAATTCAAATTATCAATAAATTATATGTATTTTAAAAAATATTTAACACATATGTATATATGTATATATTTTACAGTGCATCACGGTTACCTGGACGGAAATGTGACTGTACACCAGCCCCTCGCCCTTACAGTATTGATTTTGCAAGACAAAAAGCACCAGTGTATAGTTTAGGTTTAAAATTAGATGCAAAAGAAATTTGCCGCTCTCCAGGTCCTAAATATCACCTTAAACGTCCTCCACAGATGCCTCAGTATTCCTTTGGTGTTAGACATAGCGAATGTGCTCCTCCTTATATTCTAGAATGTGATGATGCATGTTGAAATATTTATCATATTCAACGAAAAATGACAGTCCAAATGTACCGTACCATGCATATTATTATTGAACTTAATATATTGTATTATAACTGCTTTAATGATCACCTATCATTAGTTGTTCTTATTAATATACACGATATTAAAAAAAAAAGTGAAACTATTTATTTAATTTGTTCGAAATTGTCAATAATGTCCACTCCTATAAGTCCGAAGAAATCTTGTCCATGCATTACCGAGTTTGATATTGTTTGTGTCACACTTGCGTTTGCCCTAGCAACAGAGACGCAAAACGTTACTAATAAGTAAATCTACCCATGTGTCACTCTCCTATTTTTATGAAATTTGGATATGTTATAGTACATGGAAAATTAGGGGACACGTATTTTTTTTTAGCTGCGGTAAAACATATTTAGGGTATGAAACAACCCCCCAAAGTGTGAGGGTAAAATGGAAAAATTGCGATATTTTCGAGATCAGTGAAGCAATTTTGATGATTTTTGGTATGAAAGTATCTTTCGATAGAAGAAAAAAATTGGCCTAGGTATGTTGGAAGGGGAGTGAAAATTAGGGGGTGAAATACCCTAAAGCGACCAATTTCTTGCTGTAAAAAAATCGGTTTTGATCTGCTC